TCTGGGCTTTCTGTACCAACAAGTTATTTGTAAAGTTTAAAAAGATCAACAACATAAACGGAAATTTAATTAAGAATTAAATTAATGAAAAGGTGTCAGGTGGGTAAAGTTTATCTATAATCCAAAATAATTAGGCTAGGGTGATAGCTTGGCGGTCGAACCAAGGACCCAGGTTCGATCTCTGAGGCCCTGTACCAAAAAATCCAAAAAAAGTTACTAAGAGAAAAGGGGTTTAAATGTTTCATTTATTAATGACTGTGAATATATAAAAATTGTTAATATTGTTGTGATTTTAAATGAAATTATGTCCATAAACCGGTCAGTTGTGAGATAAGGCATTTCCTTGCCCCTACGATTATATAAAATAAGACTTTGAAATCAGTGTTGAGCTTTCATAAGCCCTTAGTGGCCACTTACCCACTTTGTCTGTGATGTCCCTCTAAAGACCCATTCTTCCTTTAAGTTTGACAAGATGAGCACATACTGAGATGAGGAAAAGAACTCATAGTTATATGTTCATAAAGGCTAATAAAATTATGTTCTACTAACTTGTAAGAGGAACATTGAGTTTACAGTCACTAAGATAGGTTGTAAAGTTAGAATGGAGAGAATTGAGAATTGTTACTCACTTTTTAAATTGTAGTCTGTTAAGGACTGAACATTCAACACAGTTATGAGTTTTCCTGCCACTGTGTTTTTCAAAGGGTACACTGAACATTCAACACAGATATGAGTTTTCCTGCCACTGTGTTTTTCAAAGGGTACCTGTACATTGTATGAAGTTTGTGGGCTTCAGGATATATTCACTCAGTCTCTAGTATTACTTCTTTTCTCTGAAATATTACTACTTAGCTGCAAAGGCAAACGTTATTGGCATACCATTAGGCCAAGCACTGCAAGGAATGCCAGGGAGCAAACTGGGCTCCAGGAATCTGATAGAACCCTGAAAAGTGAGGATGTGCTTGAGAGGTGTTGTGGATGTTCACCTCCAGGGAACTGGCCTGTGAACTTCAATAATGGCTTTTTATTATTTTATTGAGAAAGAAATATGAATGAGACAGTTTCAATAGGACAGTTTCAATAATCAATACATTGTACATTGTTATCTTCTCAGTGGTTATCCATAGCACAAGAAGCAGACAGGATATCCTGTCCAAACACTATTACTACAAATCTTTCTTCTCATTGAATTAAGTGAAAGTAGCTGTATATCTATCCTATTTTGTATATATAAATACAAAATGATCTTTCCTTTTATCCCCTTTTTAGGCTTAGTCCTGTCAGAGGTGGGTATTCTATTGGCATCTAAATACTATAGGTGTTTGAATTCGGCAAAACAATCCAACACTGTCCAACAGTCTTTAATATTAGTGTGCTATCCTCAGAAGTTATTGACTTGAGCCTTTTACAGCTCATCATATTAATATGACTTTACTTTATATACCTCGTTTTTATATTTTTCTCCTGGATGGTTAAGACCAAGATAAAGCAAGACCTATATAACAAGAAATGTAACTTTTGTTTCTGATAAGGTCAGTCAAGTCCCCTCAGGATTTATCCTGTAGCCGTGTACCGCACTTTGTAGATCCTTTGTCAGTGTCAGCTATGAGGATAAGTCACGACCATTGCCTGACCAATTTGCTCTCTGTGAAAGCCTGAATGTTTTCTCTCCATGTGACTGTCCCCTGGCACACTATACATCATCGGTCACATTCCTCTGTGGCTCCATAATTTCCTTGAACAGAAAATTTGGAGCACAACTGAGTTACATGATGTTACAGTACAGGTTCTCTCCTATGTTTCAAGTTTTCACTGACGTTGAAAGGCTAGGGCCAAAATGTTGGCTGACTTTGCAGCCCTTCCTTTTCTCCAGTTTTGATCTGCTAACTTAGGTTGTTAACCTTCCAGAAGAGAAGCTTATTATTAACCTGCAATTTATGCAGTTCAGTTTACCCTATCTGTCTAAATATCAAACATCTTTGGCATATTATGGAACAAGTATTTTCCATCAAGTATTCATATGTTGAACTTTAAGTCTTTATAGAATATGAAGGAAAAATAATTATTAAAAACTAGAAATAAGCATTTACATATTTTTACAAAGAAATTTAGAAATCTAACCATATACAGAATTGTAACAAGACCGACCTGTGACATTTTCTTATTCTTATGTCTTTTTTTTCATTTATTACCCCTTTTTAAATAAAAAAATTTAAAAAACCATTACTTGAGAGACAGTATGGCAATAATTGGTATGTCATGACAAGAAGTGCATATTTAGAAGACCAGAATGACAGGCACTCTAAGCGTGACCCCTAATGATGGCCTTTTATGTTTTCCTTGTGATACTGTGATTTTGCTTTGAGTTTTCAATTCCCCTTTATTTTTAAACCAGGAATGGGAAGGGAAGATATTTAATGAAGAAGAGTATGGGCTAGGAGATAGCTCAGCGGTCTGAGGCCTGCCTGCCTGCCAAGCTCATGGACCTGGGTTTGATCCCTAGTACCACATGACATGCCAGCCCTGGAACCCTGGGTGCACCCTGCTGGCCACTGAAACTGTGCGTGGTGGCACATGCCTATAATCCCAGCACTGGGGAGACTGAGACAGGAGGACCACTATGAGTCTGAGCTGTGTAGTGAGGCCATGTATCAAATAAATAAAGATTAAAAAAAAATTTTTTTTAGAAGAGTGTATTAGTCCATTTCCCATTGTAATTGTGAAATACACGAGGCCCAGTACTTCATTTACTCAGTTTTAGGGGAGAAGAGCCCAAGATCCATTTGGCCTTTGGTGAGAACCCCCGTGGCACATCCCTTTATGGCAGATGGAAGGGTGGTAGGAGCAAGTATGCAAGGGAGAGGTCATGTGGTGGGACAGGAAGCTGGAGACTGGGAAGGACCCATCTTACTGTCGCCTTTTATAATAGCCCCCATGTGTGAGAACTGACCAGGATCATCAGAGAACAAACTAAATCTCTCCTAAGACAGATGCTCCAAATGAACTAATGATCCCTTCTACAAGGTATTTTTCTTAAAGGTCCAATACCTCTTATCCTCATCATACTGAGGACTGAGTTTGAACACATAAACCTTGGAAATACACTCAAATCATAGCAAAATAAATTTCATCTAAATTTCAGTTGGAATGTTAACATTACCCTTGGTTTAAGTGTTTCACTTAATCTGGGTCCTTGGGCAATATATACCTCTTTTTATTTGTTAATTTGTACCAGAAGGACATTTTTATTAGTAATAATTTGCATGATGAGCAAATAGTATTTCAATTTTTAAAAATCAACTAATAGCAGATTTTAGAGGTAAAATTATTTTCACTAGACGCTGATTGAGATCTAATATGCCTCTATTTTAGATGACTGAAACATGTCACTTTTAGATGTTTGCCAGTCCTATACTTTTAGTGTTTGTTGTTATGCCAGCTACCTTTCTTGTTTTGCTTATATTTTTCTCACAGTTCATGCCATTGTTTGCCTTACCCAAAAAACTTGGAATGGCTTTAAGTCTTTTTAATGTGGGTTTTCTAAAACCTGGTTTCTTATATATAAATATGTACAAATGAGTTGAGGTCTGATATTTATCTATACCATCCAGTATTATGTATATAAATGTTTTAAAATGCATCATCCACTTGGGGCATATACATATATAATCATAAATGATTTTAAGGCAAATACCTGATTCCTCCTTCCCCTAGATCAATTGTTTCATTAGTGTTACTTTATGAAACCAAGTTTTGAACATTTGTCTTAAATAATGTAGCACATTAGACTCCATTATGTGGAATACTAATATCAGGTCCAAGTACTTGAAAGCTAACTATTCTTTTTTTTTTCTAATGTAGTTGATATAAAAGGTAGAGTCCTTTCCATTCCCACAAGAAAGATTCCCACAAGAAAGAGAATGCCAGAAATTGGTACTTTATACTTACTCCTTTTGTCCATCAGTGTTTGGAGATTTCTAATCCTATATAACATTCCAAGATAATTTTGGTGTTATATGAGCTACTTTCTATTCAACAAATTCTTTTTATTTTCTTTTTATTTTGGCGGAATGAGGGATTGAATTCAGACTCTTTTTTTTTTTGCAGAACCGGGGATTGAACTCAGGTTCTTGGGCTTGACAGGCAAGGGCTTATTCTACTGAGCCACCTCCCTGGCCCTGAATTCAGACTCTTGTGCTAGCCATTTCAATGCTTATTCTACAGAGCCATGTCTCTGGCCCATGCATGATATTGCTTTTTTTTTTTTTTTTTTTTTTTGCGGAGCCGGGGATTGAACTCAGGCCCTTGCACTTGCCAGGAAAGCACTTATTCAACTGAGTTATCTCCCCAGCTCAAATTCTTTTATGACTTTCAACAATTTTAACCACTAGAAAAAGTTATTTCTTAGAACATTGTTTCTCTGAGTAGGGAGCATTAACAAATCTCCATTTTCTCTTTGAGAAATTGTCTTTATCATTCTAGCATTTCTCCCCTGGAACAATGTAAAAAATGTAGAGGTAAAACTGACCACTGACTGGTAACCTCCCTCAGGACAGGGCGGGGATGGGCCACCTATACCTAGTGGAAGACATAGCTTTGGGCTTCCCTGAGTTAAATGTGCTTCTCTTTCCTGGGTGTGTCTCTCATTGTGGGGACCTCAAAGTTTGTTTGCGGTGTTTCAATTCTGAAGCAGTGTGCTTCCTGTACCACAGATGTATTTCACAGTACCTCATTGGTTCCTGTGGGCCCTGGAGAATGGTCCCTGGACTCATGCTACTGAAGATAAGCTTGATGGCACTCTGTCCATATCATATGTATTTAGCTTGCATCCTTCTGCAAAGGTGATCTACGGCACACGCTGGTTTACAACACATTTTGGCCTTTTGAGAATTGAGTGTCCTCCTGAACCAAGATCACTACTGCTGGCTGGGAAGAATATACTGTATTAAACATTCAATATGAAAAGTATAACAATGAGTAATTTTATTTTTGTTTTTCAGAAATGTGTTACCGATGAGTGTTTCTTTTTTGAACGATTGGAATCTAATAACTACAACATTTACTGGTCCAGGAAATATTCCAGTTGGTATGTGGCACTGAAACGAACCGGACAATATAAACTTGGATCCAAAACAGGACCGGGGCAGAAAGCTATACTTTTTCTTCCAATGTCTGCTAAGAGCTGATTTTAATGGCAGCATCTAATCTCATTTCACAAGAAGTATATTTTAGAAAATTGTTAATAAGAAAAAAAGGAATGTATACAGTTCAGTTTGGATAACAGATCAGGCTTTTTATCTGATAGTAAGATATTTAACCATTGCCTCAGTAAAGAAAAACAGCAAAAATTCTTGGAAAATGTAGACTTACTCCTTTTATATAGTATCTGCTATTACCACTGAAGATTACCTAGACTAGGACTGCTATCTTTTACACATATTTGCTTCATTTGAAAAGAGGACTTTGAAGTGAACAAATTTATGAATAATTTTTCTCCGTGGAAAATCATGATTAGAAAATTGGCATCAGATATTTAACGTTCATCTGTCTTATGGTATATATTAACATACATGTACAGTATACTTTGAATTTTTCAAAAAACATGTAAATGTGAATTTAATCTATTCCTGTCATAATTTTGTAATTCTCTGGCAGTTCCTTGTGATAGAGTTTATAGAACAGGCCTGTGTAAACTGCTGGAAGTTCTTCCATGGAGAGGTCGATCTTGTCAAACCCTTCTCTGTGTCCATATAGCAGCAGCCGAGCCACTCTGCTGGTGATGGGCGTGGTATTTTCAGTCCTGATCAGGTCTTTGAGATCCATCCACTCACATCTTAAGCACTCATGTTGGCAAAAGTTTATTGTGAATGAATGTGGCTTGAGGCGGCAGATGATATACATATCTGACTTCCCAAAAGCTCCTGGATTGGTGTGCTGCTGTCGAATACTGAGGAGGGACCTGAATTCTGCTTTTATACCTGTCTCTTCAAAAACTTCTCGAACTGCTGTGTCTCCTATGTGAGAAATACAGACTGTAAGTCACAGTGTGAAAGACTTCAGTATCAAAGGTTTGCAGTTAGAATCTTAAAAGTTCAAAAACAAAACTTTTAAGTGTTTGTTTTCAGTAGAAACTCTTTGTCCCCTGGACAACCTAAAATATCAAAAGATTTCATTACTGCTCTCCATTTAAGAGTCTTGAAATACTGAATATTCCTTCAGCTGCTACTTTGGAGGCTTATCTACTTGTATAATTTGGAGACTCACATCTTAATATTTCCCTGCTCTATTTCTCAAGATGTAAAAATACAGGTTACAAAAGTGAACATATGTTGCAAAGCTGCAGTTAATATTCTGGTATATTTCTTATTATCCTGTTCCTGATCATCCACTAAAACTCCCTCAATTTATGTATGTCAAGATTGAGAAGAAGTGGTCTGCACTTCCAGGAGTCTGTAGAACTGTAAAATGTACTAGAGTGATGGTAACTCTCCTGGTGACAACAGCTGATGTGTCAGCTCTGCAGGCCATCTACTAGATTCCTCTGTAACCATTTAGTTATGCTCCTCAGTGATGTTGTTAGTGAAATCCCACAGTAGCAATTTTTAGCATTGCTGCTTTCTTGAGATAAAGATTCAAAAGAACTTGACTTTATTCCTGCAGCACCAGAATACAAAAGTTATTTCATGAGAAGTTTTCAAAAGCTAGGAATATACAGAATTTTACAATACAATAATGATTTTTATATTTCATATAGTTAATTTCTCAGTTAAATGTAAATTTATGGCAGGATTTTTTATTGCCATTAATATTTTTGTCTGCTTTTTTCTATACATTCAGAAAGACTAAAATGAGTTTTACTTAATTTTGTAATGGCCTATTATCATTCCCAAAGCTTGATGCAAATAACTTTAAAACAGTGCCTTCAGAGAAAAACAAAAACAAAAACACTCAAAACCAAAGCCAAAAATCCCCAGTGCCTTCCTTGATCATTTTTCTGGGAAACTCCATAAATGCCATACATTGTTGTTCAAATATCTTTCAATGCCTTCACTGTTGCTGGTCAGATAGTAAATGATTTTTGCCTTTGTTGTAATCCTACTGGAAAAAAATAGACAAAGAAGTTTAAAAAAAGTCTCAGCTCTTGTGTTCTCTGAGTATAAATTGCCTTACTAGTCCTCAGCATATACCTTTGTTTCTGTCTCTGAGAAACAGCTCTGGAAAAATCCATAGGAAATGTAATATTTCTTAAGAAATAAGCCATTTTCTACTGCTTTTCAATTATATACTAATTTTCCTTATGACTGAGATGTGCTCATAGGTTAAGCATGGCTAGAAATTACATTTTAAAACCAAAAGCACTGGGGTGGGGGGTGCAGCTCAGTGACAGAGAGCTTGCCTGGCCTGGCCTGCATGAGCTTTAGAGCTGATAGTCAGAAACCAGAAAAAAAAGGTGGTGATAAAATTGAAAGCATGACAGGTCAGTTTAAGAGACACTTTAAGAAGAAAAATAATTTTAATCTGTATTACATATTTATTAAAATTTATCATTAAGGATTGTGGCATTAGTCTTAAAGGCCCATAACTTGGGCTCAAATATGTATTTTTAGTCTTTAGAACTCTGAAGAATAGCCACAGAGATTGTTTCTAGCTCCTAGTACTACCAATAAAAACTGGGTGTATAGATAGATGTAGTGGTGTGTGCCTATAAGCTCAGCATTCAGGAGGTAGAAAGCAAGAAGATGGCAAGTTCAAGGTCAGCTAGGACTACATACCGGGACCTTGCCTCAAAAGCGCAAACCAATACCACCACAGTTGGGCATTTACAAAGCTCTCAAGTCCAGGCTGTTCATATGTCGTAAATATAAGACTGGGCTAATAAGACAGTCTGTCTTGCTCTGCAGTCACCATTGTAGATGACTGAAATATAGTGCTGCCTGGATGGTTTTGCTGGGTCTAACCTGAGTTAACACATCACTGACTAGACTGAAAAGTGGACGGGCAAACAAGTGCTTTTGTATCTGCGACCTGGGAGACATTTCACCTTCTAAATGAAAATCTCTTCCTTAAGAACTTGAACAAAATTTAATTTTTTTTTTTTTTTTTGCGGAACCGGGGATTGAACTCAGGCCCTTGCACTTGCCAGGGAAGCGCTTATTCTACTGAGCCATCTCCCTGGCTCCTAAAATTTAAATTTTTAATCAAGATAAAGTGATTTACTTTAGTGTGCCTTTAAAATCATTTTAATATACTGTAAGCTAAAATGAAATAATATAGATTGGTATAACAACATAAGAAAAACTAAGAAGTTTTTAATTTTTGCTGGATAAGATATATTTAAATGTGTCAATTTGTTTAACTACAGGATAATAATGAAATGGAATATAGTTGTTATTTCTATTTTTGTAATATTTAGTAATGAAATTAGTTTGAAATAAAATATTAGGAAAAAATCGCAGAAGGTGATGTTTCCTGATGATTTCCAGTGACTAGCACACTGATAACTGCTGATCAGACCCGCTGCTTCACGATCCTTGGGCTACTACTGTTTCTGTCAGGGGTAGTTAAGTTTTTTTAGGAAGGCAGTTTGTCCATTTTAGCTTCACAATACCTTTACACTCAGACCTTGAAGACTATCTTCAATTATGTATATGACCCCTTAAATTTCTGAACACACTTAAAAATAATGTTTCATTTTCCTACTACTATCAGATAACTAAAGATTTCAAACAAGTTTTTCCAGCTAATTAGTGTTTACTTAATGGGGCTTATTGAGTCCAGTTAAGGGCCAGTATAAACATTTGTTTTTCTTGGCAGTATTCTGAAATAGCTATGTTACTTTCCTAAAATATGATTTAAATAAGATAGCTCAATTTTTTGATGATTTGGCATTAACAGTAAGAATATCTATTATTATTATTATTTTTTTTCTGCTGTTGTAAAACTGAAATGCCTACTTATGGACACAGTCTTTCAGACCTTTGCTATCAGTTATCATTTCTAGTCTTTTATCAGTTCTGCAGCAGGCTTTAATTTATACCACACCTACATAGTACAGTGAATGCTAATTGCTGCTTTTTTCTTGATTCCATATAGCTGTTTGTGCTATGACCAAAATGTACCATGAATATTTACATTTAAAAAAAATTTATTATAGTAGAAAACACATCAACATTAACACCCTCAAAATATTCAATCTGGACACAATCCATCATTCTTGTCACAATCTGAAGTAGTTGTGGAAGTACTTCTTTGTGTCTTTAGTTGTGTTGTCAGGTCTCTATCAGTGTCCTGAGTCCTTCACAATATTTACCTATTGTGGTCATTTTGACTTTGGAGAGCCAGAGGGAAGTGCAGGGAGTCAGAGCCAGTGAATAAAATGAGGGAGGACACACTCTCATTTTTCTAGGAGGCTTGCCTTCTATTGGATGACATTTGGTGCCAACATTCACTGTATTTTTGATCACACCTTATATGGGCACTCACAAAAGAGGATTTCCACAACTGCGTCAAAAGGTAACAAGAATTATAAGTGTGATTGAAGAAGAATGAGTCTTTTGAGGGGGATAAATGGCAGTGTGCACTGTATCATAAATTTTTAAAAGTCACTGTATTTCAATTATACCTTGTATATATGACCTCTGGGTAGATCATAAATACTAGCAGACATTTTTACTATATCATAAATTTTAAGAATTTATTCACTGTATTTCAGTCATGCCTTGTAGCACTGGTGAGATAGCTCAGCGGTCTATATTGAGCTTAGTAAGTAGTTCTATGGGGCTAATTTTCATTTTAGACTTTATTGCATGACATTACTAAGCTGTAGCTTTCTAACTATTCTAAAATAAATGGATAAAAACTTCATGAAGAAAGTAACATCAATAAGCACACTTTTATGATGGAATGGTCAAGAATTTGTGTTTTCTTATAGTTCTGTTCCATTAATAACTTCAGTCATATTCAAAACAACCGCATTTAACTGATATATATATATATACACAAAGCTGCTCTTTTTCATATGGATTAATCTAGAAACAGAGAAGAATAAGCATTTTATTACTAATGATGTTTCTTATACTAATGGAACAAATTGTAATGCTAGATATTTTGTTGGTAATTTTATATTAGCCCACAGTTTTTCTCTGAGATGTTCTAACTTGGTTTGAACCAATTAGAAAATTTAAATTCTTATTCTTAGCTATAAAGAAGTAAATACATTAATTTGATTATTAATTGAAAATGTGTAAGATACATACCAATGTCTTCTCCAGGCTCTGATAGCCCTCCTGGAAACTTCCACATGTTTTTTAGCTGCAATGTAACATTATAAAGTTTATATAATATTTATTCAATAACACACACATATGCACACATAGGCTCCACAAAATTTACCTATAGTTGGTCAGTGTCATTGTGAATTTACTTTTTGGTAATTGCATAAAGTTTCTCCAACTTCCATACTCCCTCCTTCCTTTTTTCCCTGAGGTGGTGACAGGAAATCTTTTCTTACCCTTTTCTTCTGGGAACAGAAGCAGATTTGGTCAATGTGATAAAATTTGTACTAATGAAACTTTGAAAGGTATCTACTGCATTTGTATTAACTTAAAAGGTTTGCTGCTAATTATGAATAAAAGAGTCTTAACAGATGCTGCTATATATATGTAGAAAATATGAAACATTAAGTATGCTATTCTTAACTTTTCTGTCTCTTTTGCTATATTGTGTTT